AAAAAAAAAGTTGGAAAGATGAAGAATTCCCCAGACTAAAGGGTGAAAAGATGGATGGATGGATGGGTGGGTGGGTGGGTGGGCGGACGGACGGACGGACGGACGGACGGACGGACGGGAAAAAAATGATTCCAAAAGCAAAAATCCCAAAATCTCCGTATTTTTGAACAGGTGGTTTTCCTGCTTCTGCAGTTTTGGAGCCCAGTTGTTCATAGTTTTCTCCACTTTGCCTTTTGGCCTGCAGAAGCAAAGCCAACTTGAGAGAGATTCATAGTGAACATTTATGCTTTTTTGTTTTTAATCTTTTTGAGACAGGGTTTTGCTATGCAGTTCCAGCTGGCCTTGAACTCACAGTGATTCTCCTGCTTCTGCCTCCCAAGTGCTGGGTTTACAGGTGTGCACTACTATGCCCAGCTAACATATGTGCTTTAATGATGCTATTTTTCAAAAAGATCTTGAAGTTTGGATGCTAAAGAAGAGAAGGATTAATTTAGTAGTATATTGTTGCTGGATAATCTTAGATAAATTGTAATATTATGTAATATTAGGAATCTATAAAAAGGCCATTATTTTTTTTTATAAAATACCCTCTCTAAAATGTGGATTATAAATATATAGGTAGAAATCAGCCATCTTAAAGCAAGACAGAGCGCTCTCCAGGATGAGCTGCTGAAGCTGCAGCCAGCTGCTCAGGCTGTGCCTGCAGGGGCTGCCGGTGCCCCAGCACCCACTGTGTCATCTTCCGTCCCCTATGGGATCCATCCTGGGGCTTCAGCTGGCTATGATGATGACATGGACTTTGGAGACCTGCTTTCCTCACAACAGGAAATAAACAGATTGTCCAGTGAAGTCTCAAGACTTCAGTCTGAGGTTGGCCACTGGAGGCGTATTGCCCAGGTAGGTGAATTTGCATGAGGTTTAAAAATTTGGAGTAAATAAAAACAGTGGTGCTCTCGAGGAAGCTACATGTGGAGCATTCCCTGAGCTGGGAAGTAGAGACCCTGCATCGCATGTGTAATTCGGCCAGTGACTAAGTCATTGGTTTGCTTGCCTTTCTCTCAGCTTTAGTTTACTTTTCTGTACAATATTTGAGAGAATTGTTTAAAAAACATTATAGCAACCAAACCATTGGTGAGCTGTCACCTCTTCTGGAAATCAGACTTCTCTGGTGGGGACACCAAGGTGCCAAGGCACTGTGTGTAACATGGCTTCCTTGAATTCTGTCTGTGGTTTTGTTAGCCCTAGTGATATGTAAAGTGAAAACTGGTAATTAATATTATGAAATATGGTAAATTATTTTGTGTTTGTTTTTATGCAATAGGAATTAAATACTTCATATTTTGATCTCCAAACTTTCTTCTAAGGGATACTTTTAGTGATGCATATTAGATTTTATATACAGTATTCTGAAATTTGTTAATAAACAAGAGACTTGGAATAAACCATTACATTATTATTATTATTTTATTTGTTTTATTTATTTATTTATTTATTTTTTTGGTGGAACTGGGGATTGAACTCAGGCCCTTGTGCTTGCCAGGGAAGTGCTTATTCCACTGAGCCATCTCCCCAGCCCCTGGTACATTATTCATTTGGGTTTCACTTCATCAGTACAAGAAAAAACAGTATATAAGTAAAGGTATTATCTGTCTTTTGTAAATGTATTTTATGAAACAGACAAATCTTATCAGTTAAAATTACCTGCTTGTTTCCCACATTGTTAGACATTCCAGTGTCCAGTTGGTCATCAAAACACTGTAATTCTTATGCTTTGTCTTAAGAATGACCTGGAGAACTTGATAATATTGTAGTTTTCATGTCTGGCCTTCAGAGAGTTTCATTTTGGAGTCCATGTAGAGCCTTAGAAACTGTGTCCAAACAAATAACATTCCTAGGTGATCTGATCATCTGAGTCACATCATTTAAGAAACGTTGCTTAGGGTAAATTGTACAGGGAAGAAATGGACTTTAGCACGTCTTGAATACCCAGACCTGTATTGTAATTTAAAGGTGAAAAAAGCATAATTTGGACTTTGTAGGGGGCTTACTTTTCTAACGAGTCATAATGAAAATTATAATTTGTAATATACTATGTAAAATACATATATATTAATAACTATCTGAAGTATTTATTATCTTTCTTTTGTGGATAAGGAAATTGAAAGTTATTGCTAGGAGTCATATACTTATTGTCCCAGTGAGTAAAGTTATGAGTCAAATACATGTCTTTTCACTCCAAATCTTGTGTTCTTTCCATTGTACTATGTTTTGCCTTTCTGCTCATTGGCTCATTAACAAGTTATCTAGTTTTGACTCATTGATATATTATCTAGTGAATGTTAATAAAGATAAATGAGTGCTTATTAGAGGATTGGGTGGGTAGAGGGGAGGTGGGCAGAGTGGTCAGAAACCAAGTTATAGTTAGATGGGAAACTAAGTTCTGGTCTTTTTGGGAATAAGGTGACCATTGATAATGTTGTATATTTCAAAATAGCTAGAAGAAAAGAATTTGAATATTTTACCACAAAGAAGTGTTAAATGTTGGAGATGATAGTGTTAATTAGCCCCTCAGCATATAGTTATTAGGTGTCAGTTAAAGTGTTTTTAAAAAGATAAACTCACAACATACAGCTTAGAATGAGAAAAAAAGAATCTGGATTTTTTTTTATTTTCATATCAAACCAAAGATCATTCTATTTTAAGATAGAGATATAGGCCTTTTCAAAATAATTTCAAAAATGAGTTTTCAGTATTAACAGTGGATAACCTGTTGTAGAAATTTTCTTTAAGCAAGATGCTTGATTATCATCCTATTTACATTTTGGTAATACAAGCAAAACAGTCCTTTTTTCCCCTGTATTTTCTAAAACTGTTGTTTCTCCAATTAACAAATTCTTGGGGAGGGTATCTTTTTGTATTCTGTATAACTCTCTAGTGGACTAGGTTTCTTTACAAAGTGTATAGTATTCATTAATGAGAATCTGCCTGAGAAAGACCCCGTTTTTGAAAAGTAGCTTTTAATAAGTTTCTGAGTTTGTTTAAAAAGAAAATTGGTACAATTATTTTCTAATTCTCTCTTTTTTCACCTGTAAGACACAGGGAACATATAGCTCTGATCAAAGTGAAATCTGCAAACTACAAAATATCATTAAGGTAAGTCAGATTTTGATTGCCAGTGGTATAAGTTATATGCATCTCTACATCTATGTATTAAAAATATAGGCCTAAGTTAGTAAAAGTCTTAGCTGCAAAAGATTCAATTTCTTATGATACTCAGTTTCTAACTATTTTGAATCATTCCTTCTGAGAAATAAGATACATCAAAATACTTTGCTGGGTGTCCCATGCCTATAATCTCAGCTGTTTGGGATGCTGATGCAGAAGGATTGTAAGTTTGAGGCCAGCTGGGGCAACTAAACAAAAGCCTACCTTAAAATAAAATAAAGGGCTGGGGAGATAGCTTAGTACAATAAGTGCTTGCCTGGCAAGTGGAAGGGCCTGAGTTCAATCCCCAGTTCCACAAAAATAAATAAATAAACAAATAAAATAATCTGAGGATACAGCTCAGGGCTTGAGTACTCCCCCATATTCTCCAAATTTAAAATAAATAAATCCATTGAAATATCTCCCTAAAATCATTTGGAAGACATAATTCATATGTCTCCTTTGTAGCTCCTTTAGTAAAACAAAGAACTCCGAAGAATTGTTTCAAGTTTTAGGGTTAAAGGATATTGATAAAGTATAGATATTATTCAGTATGGTAACTATTTTACATTAGTGGTAAAATTTTGCTAGTTTCTGTCAATTATTTCCTTTAAGAAGAGTTCCATATATGTATCATGGTAATGAGAAGTTTTCAGTATTAAAGTTATGGTCAGATAGATCATTCTTTTGGTTTACTATTACTATAATATTAGTGTACGTAAGTTCCCTAGTCAGACTTTGGTCTAACCTTGGCTGTGCTACACTTTCCCATTTTCTGTTTCACAAGTAAACATCACAGTAGCTACCTTACAGGACTGTTTTGAACTCTTAGCTTGGTGCTGGCACATTAGTGCATGGTATTAAGCACTGGACTTGTCATCTCAGGAAATAGCAACCAAGTCATCAATTGGGATTCTTAATTACAAGCTACAAAAAACATCTCCTGCTGAGTAAAGCAGAGGAGTTTTTCATGAAGGACCAGGGCGTCTCACTATAGGACTGAAGAAAGAATTAAGCATTCTGATATCAGGAAGCACAGGCATTTGCAGCATGAGGAATCTACAGGCCACTGCAGACAGACTTAGGAGGATGCAGTTTTCATCATGTTTCCCATCAAGATTTGGAGAGATCTGGGTCAGAGAGAAGGTGGCCACAGGTTGGGAGCTCCCCGGAGATTGACCAAAGGAGAGGCTGAATAAGAGAATAGTGGTAACTGCACAACGGGTACAGAGTGCCCCCTGGTATTGTCAGAATACGTCGCTAGGAATAGGACAAGGGCATGATCATGGAGACCAAGGAAAAGATATTTTTGCTCATCTTTTGTTATAATGTTTGCTTGTCAATATTTCCTCGTTAAAAGTAGAAAAATGTGTGTGGTACTGGATGTTGAATTCAAAGTTTTAATAATGAACTACATGATGAACTACTAACCCTTTCATTATTTGGAGTCAGGGTCTTGCTAAATTGCCCAGATGGAGCTAGACTTTGTGATCCTTCTTCCTCAGCATTGCACGGTGCTGGGAATACAGTCGTGCAATGTCCAGGCTGGCTATAGCACCTCTTTGAG